TATATTTGTGTTTATTACACTATCACATATTGTATATTTGTGTTTATTACACTATCACATGTTGTATATTTGTGTTTATTACACTATCACATATTGTATATTTGTGTTTATTACACTATCACATATTGTATATTTGTATCTCTGGTTTGTTATCTCCTGTCAGGAAAAGCAGGGGATAATTGAGTTGCTTTTGTCTGTCAGTAAAATATCTGATGAAGCAGTGGATGGAGGTCAGTGAAACTCTGAAACTGGACTAAGATCTAGTCCATGATTCCTTTAGTTCAAATGTTTGTTTTTATTTAGATGTTGGCTTCTTTCCTTCAGCCCCCACATCTCATCCTGTGGCTCTCCACCTCCGACCACTGTACTTTCTATCAGAAGTTTTAAGAGTTATTTCTTCTTTCTTTTGTCCTTCCTAATGTCAGGGAGGGAAAACAGAAACTATTTCAGTCAGGTCTCTATGGAAACRGCAGCAGCACACAGGAAGCTGTAAGATGGACCTGGCAGTGATGATGCACCTCCAAGTGTGAAAGACATTTCTGTTTACCTTGTGACATCACAACACTCATCTCTGTCCAACTTTTCCTCTAACAACAAGTTTCCTGTCTCGTTGATTTCTTGAAAATTTCCCCACAAACAGTCAAAGTTACCACATACAGAAAAGTTCTTTTGGTTTTCTAATCTCCTCTTGAGCCTGGCTCAGATTAAAGATGAAACTCTGACCTAATCAGAGGGAGGACAGACTGAAGTCCTGCTGGTTTCTAGAGGAGGTGCTTACTGGACTTTCTCTGCAGGACTGAGGGTTCTGTTCCAGTCGGCAGGGTTGCTGGTCCATTGACCCTCCGGTTCACCTCTACAGGATCTGCTCTCTGAGGACCACTTCTCTGTGTCAGAGTCTGTTAGGTTTTAGGAATCTGAGACCTGCTCCCTTTTCTTTGGGAGGGTTTGGAGTAGATCCAGACCTGCAGGATTCTTCCAGGTGCCAAAGCTCTAAATAATGTAAAAATCTCCAGAAGAAAACTCTAAAGTAGATTTTATTTGGTGACATGTGGTGCATCTTGTTTGTTTAGACTGTGACATGAGCAGACTCTTAGCTAGAAGCTGGTCTATAAAATGTTTTATTTATTTATCTGGGTTTCCTGCAGCTCTTCTTTATGCCACCATCTTTGGAAACGTCACGACCATCTTCCAGCAGATGTATGCCAACACCAACCGCTACCACGAGATGCTCAACAACGTCCGGGACTTCCTGAAGCTGTACCAGGTTCCTAAGGGACTGAGCGAGCGAGTCATGGACTACATCGTCTCCACCTGGTCCATGTCCAAAGGCATTGACACAGAGAAGGTAGGACTGAGACCCCAGCCTGTGGGTTCACTCAGACCTGAGTCTTGGTGTGTCCTCAGCAGAACGCAGGCTGCTGTGGGTTAGTCATAAGTGAGACAGAAATAGTTTTCTGTTGACCCACATGAATAAAACTGAGCTTCAGACCTGCATCTGCTTTGATTTGAAAGGTCAAAAGCTGCTGACACACTGCAGCATGGGAAGCTTCCAGAGCGCAACAAAAGCTCATTTTCTGTAACTAAATGAAAAACTTACTGAAGAAATGTGAAAAAGTGACAATTTTTATTTTAAAAATGCTAATGTGGTAGCAGTTAAAACCAGTCATTTATGTAAAGTCAAAAGTTCAGTTAAATATAAAACATAGTTTTAGTTTTGTTCAACACATTCCACCATGTTGGTCTCTGTTGGTCTGTTTTCCTGCTCTGATGATCAGTCTCTTCTCCACTGATCTTCCAACTGCTTGTAGAGATAAAAATACTCACAAAAAGAGACATTAGCCGAGTTGTTTGCCCATTTTCCATATAAATACCTTGCAGTCAGAGCTGGAGCCGTTTACAGGATATTTTAGTCACTTTGGGATCCATTATGTGGAACACTGTAAGCTGTGTGTGCCAGCTCAAACACCCCAAAAAGACTAGAAGCTCCCAGAAGCATCTTCTGATATCCTCCTCCTCAGATGATGCACAGACTCTTCTGTTCACTTTTCATGTTTCAGAGTTTTATGTGATGTTATTGTCCTCCCCTGAGCCGGTTTCTTTCTCCTGTGGAATAAAACACAGCAGGATTGTGGATAAATGAGTTTTCTTGGCTCACCTGAGCATTGGGTTTATTTAGACTGCATTAGAAATAAAAATAATGAGCAGAACAGATCCAGTCCTGTCATTTATAAACTGCAGTATAAACAGAAAGCTTTAAACTGGTCACTTTGTCCCTCTGCAAAGGCATACCCACTCTCTGTAGCCTGCAGCAATTGTACCAGTTGTTATAAAATAAGGTGAGTGAAGTGGTTTGAGAGGAGACCTGTAGCAGTTCCATGTAAATTCTGACTTCACCCTCATTATGACTTGGCAGTTTGTCAATTAGTACCCAACTCTGACCACAACGTGCAAACTACTGACCACACTCTACCCAACTCTGACCACAACGTGCAAACCACTGACCACACTCTACCCAACTCTGACCACAACGTGCAAACCACTGACCACACTCTACCCAACTCTGACCACAACGTGCAAACCACTGACCACACTCTATCCAACTCTGACCACAACGTGCAAACTACTGACCACACTCTACCCAACTCTGACCATGATGTGCAAACCACTGACCACACTCTACCCATCTCTGACCACAATGTGCAAACTACTGACCACACTCTACCCAACTCTGACCACAATGTACAAACTACTGACCACACTCTACCCAACTCTGACCACAATGTACAAACTACTGACCACACTCTACCCAACTCTGCCACATTTTCTGAAGTACCTCACATCCTAAGACTTAAAATAATGACGTTTGTCTAAAAGTCTTGTCAGGCTGTAGACAGTCTGAAAGTATCACAGACCAGTTGTTGCTCAGTCAGCCACTGATTAAAGAAAAGAATTGTGCGCAAAAAAATGACACAAAGAGAAATATTGTTAACAAACCATGGATGACAAAAGGGTTGAGAAACTCTTGTAAAAAAATAACCTCTTGTACTCATGCTTCCTGAAATTAAGAACAAAAGAAGCAGACGAGAGATACAAGATGTTTAAAAATAAGTTGGTTTGGATTATAAGAAAGCAAAAGAAGGAATCTTACAGTGATTTACTAGAGAAAAGTAATGGTAATATGAGGGCAACATGGTGAATAATGAACAGTGTTCTGACATAAAATCAGGTATTCCACAGGATTTTATAAAGGTTTGTAAAGAAATTCATGATCAGAATGAAATTGTAAATGGATTTAATCTTTATTTCTGAGTGTTGGCCCAAGTCTTGCCAATGAAATACCAAAAATAGATAAAAATGTGAGTCATCCAGTTACACGTTGTACTAACAGTATTTATTTATATTTTTTATTTTTTAATTTAACGGATAAATAAGAAATAATGAATATTGTAAACAATCTTGCAGACAAAATATCAAAAGACTGGGTGGACTTGGATATGATGTTTGTGAATGAAATAATGAATTATGTTTTTGAGTCATTATCTGTAATTTATAATTTTCAGCTGCTATATTTCCTGATAATATGAAAATAGCCAAGGTAATTCCTCTTTATTAAAAATGATGAGAAACGTGTTTTTAACAACTACAGACCAATATCCTTGTTACCACAGTTTTCAAAGATTTCAGAGAAATTATTTGTCACCAAAATGGATCAATTTATGGTTTTAGAGCAAACAATTCAACATCAATGACTCTAATGGAGTTAACTGAACAAATAAGACAGCTGCTGATCAAAAACWGCATTGTGTTCGTATTTTTGTTGATTTAAAGAAAGCGTTTGGTACAACTGACCACAATATTCTTCTTGAAAAGCTGAATAAATATGGTATTAGAGGTCCAGACTTACAGTGGTTATCTAGTTATCTGGATAACAGGAAACAGTTTGTACAGATAAATGTTAGATCTGAGCTCTGTAACATCACATGGAGTGCCTCAAAGTTCTGTACTTGGACCCAAGTTATTTATTTATATGTTAATGACTTGGTAAATGTGTCAGGACTTTAAAATGTGTTCTTTTTGCAGATACTACATTTTTTTTTGTTTGGCCAAAGAGAAAAGTGGTAAATGACGTCTTTCCCTCTGCTTTAGGTCTTGTCCATATGTCCCAAAGACATGCGAGCAGACATCTGTGTCCATCTCAACAGGAAGGTATGATCCAGTCCTCTGTCTTCTGTCCTGTGTTGGACCTATGAGTTAAATGAGTTACTCAAACTGTTAATCTTCTTTAAACAAACATGTTTCACTTGTGCAACTATTCTGATTAACATCCACCTCCTGTGACAAAAGTACTTTTGTTTTTGAAACTTCTACGTATTTTTTTCTACAAAAAAAGTTCAATCATTCAGTTGAACCCATTTACTGCCTTTAAACAATCGTTCATAAAGTACCTCGAAGTGACACTTGAGTAAAAGTACAAGTATTTCACCATAAAATTCCTTTGGTAAAAGTTAGTCTCTTCTAAAAATATTACTTTAGTAAAAGTATTGAAGTATCTGATATTTTTTGTACTTAAGTATACATTTAAGTATAACTTTCTGATATAAAATGTACTTAAGAGTAAAAGTATTTAGTAAAAGTGAGCAGTTAATTTTCCTAAATGGTCTTAGAAGACTTCCCTAAAATATTTTTCTAAAGACCATAATAACTACAGAGTTAYATTTAAAAATTAATGTTAAACTTTAGGATCCACTGTTCCACCTGTTTCAGCTGTATATACTGTAAATCCTTATGTGCAGGTGTAATAGGTAGTACGAACCAATAGGATGTCAGAATGATATTTACAGTATTTATATGCTTCCCATCCTCTGAGACAGATCTGGATCATTTTATCAACAAGACAGAATGAAAACAAACCAACACAAAACAGCAAATAATAACTTTATTCTTCTTACATTAAATATAAAAAGTAGAGTTCAGRTAAGTGCATGAAAATGTAGGATTAGAGGAAAACCATGACTCAAGTATAGATAACCCAAATATCTAAGTATTTGAGTTGTTTAAATGAAGACTTGGTGACTCTTCAGTCCATCTTCATCACCTCCAGGTGTTTAATGAACATCCAGCCTTCAGGTTGGCCAGTGATGGCTGCCTGCGCTCCCTGGCGGTGGAGTTCCAGACCACCCACTGTGCTCCAGGAGACCTGATCTACCACTCCGGGGAGAGCGTCGACACCCTCTGCTTCGTGGTGTCGGGGTCTCTGGAGGTCATTCAGGACGATGAAGTCATCGCCATCCTGGGTAGGTGGTCCTAAGACTGGAGGTGTTTGTTGGACTGGAGCAGGATCTGGTTTGGATCTGAAGCTCCTGCAGAGGACCAGCAGAACATTCAGAAACCTTCCTGCTGGATCCGTGACTCAACTTTAGAATAAATCTTTCTGTCAGCAGAAAAAGATTAAATTTGCTGTAAACCCACCAAAACAACAGATTTAGAAAGTTTTGCTGTGAAATGAGACGTTCTTTCAGCTGCTGCTTGTATTTCAGCAGAAACGTCTGCTTCCTGTTCTGGTCCATCTGTTCTGACATTTCATTTGGTTGTTTTGAGTCCAGATGAACAAACTGGTTCTGCTTCAACCCAGATTCAGCTCTTCTCCCCCTCAGAAACTGTCTGCTGGTTCAACATGACTTTATTCTCTTTGCAGACAGTGATGTTTGTGCTGCTGTTTGCTGAGAGCCTGGAACATTTGACAGCATTAAGTAAAGTCCTCATGTTTAATTGTGCAGATTGTGTATAAATTACACAGATTAGACTCTGGTCTGCAGCTTTACACAGACATGTAGGACAAAACCCAGCTGGAAATGAGTTTAAAGTGTCAGGTTTTCATGTGAGCCTGGACCGACCTCTGCTGCCAGCTCCTCAGTAACAAACGTTGTTATTGGCTGTGCTAAAACAGACAGCTTCCCCTGGTTTTCATRTTTGGACATTTGTCAGTAATCGTGCAGAGAGATGTGCCTCTGAGCTGAAGAGATCAAAGTAAAAACTTAAAATGAACTTCATGAAACCATTTCATGATTTAACGCTTGGATTCAGACCAGTGATACATGGACTGTTTTTACATTTCTGACCCCTACACACAGACACACACACACACACACACACACACACACACACACACACACACA